TTAACACACAGAAATCCCTTGCATTCCTATACACTAACAATGAGAAAACAGAAAGAGAAATTAAGGAAACAATACCATTCACCATTGCAACAAAAAGAATAAAATACTTAGGAGTATATCTACCTAAAGAAAGAAAAGACATATATATAGAAAACTATAAAACACTATGAAGGAAATCAAAGAGGACACAAATAGATGGAGAAATATACCGTGTTTATGGATTGGAAGAATCAATATTGTCAAAATGGCTATACTACCCAAAGCATTCTATAGATTCAATGAAATCCCTATCAAGTTACCAATGGTATTTTTCACAGAACTAGAACAAATAATTTCACAATTTGTATGGAAATACAAAAAAGCTCTAATAGCCAAAGCAATTTTGAGAAAGAAGAACGGAACTGGAGGAATCAACCTGCCTGACTTTAGGCTGTACTACAAAGCCACAGTCATCAAGACAGTATGGTACTGGCACAAAGACAGAAATATCGATCAGTGGAACAAAATAGAAATCCCAGAGATAAATCCACGAACGTATGGTCACCTTATCTTTGACAAAGAGGCAAGGATATACAATAGAAAAAAGACAACCTCTTTAACAAACGGTCCTGGGAAAACTGGTCAGCCACTTGTAAAAGAATGAAACTAGAAGACTTTCTAACACCATACACAAAAATAAACTCAAAGTGGATTAAAGATCTAAATATAAGACCAGAAACTATAAAACTCCTAGAGGAAAACAGGCAAAACACTCCCTGGCATAAATTATAGCAGTACCTTCTATGACCCATCTCCCAGAGTAATGGAAATAAAAGCAGAATAAACAAATGGGACCTAATTAAAATAAAAGCTTCTGCACAACAAAGGAAACTATAAGCAAAGTGAAAAGACAGCCTTCAGAATGGGAGATAATAATAGCAAATGAAGCAAAGGACAAAGGGTTAATCTCAAAAATATACTAGCAAATCCTGAAGCTCAATTCTAGAAAAATAAATGACCCAATCAAAAAGTAGGCCAAAGAACTAAACAGACATTTTTTCAAAGAAGACATACTGATGGCTATCAAACACATGAAAAGATGCTCAATGTCACTCATTATCAGAGAAATGCAAATCAAAACCACAATGAGGTATCATTACACGCCAGTCAGATTGGCTGCTATCCAAAAGTCTACAAGTAATAAATGCTGGAGAGGGTGTGGAGAAAAGGGAACCCTCTTATACTGTTGGTGGGAATGCAAACTAGTACAGCCACTATGGAGAACAGTGTGGAGATTTCTTAAAAAACTGGAAAAAAACTGGAAATAGAACTGCCATATGACCCAACGGTCCCACTCCTGGGCATACACACTGAGGAAACCAGATCTGAAAGAGACACGTGCACCACAATGTTCATCACAGCACAGTTTATAATAGCCAGGACATGGAAGCAACCTAGATGCCCATCAGCAGACGAATGGATAAGAGAGCTATGCTGCATATACACAATGGAATATTACTCAGACATTAAAAAGAATACAGTTGAAGCAGTTCTAATTAGGTGGATGAAACTGGAGTCCATTATACAGAGTGAAGTAAGCCAGAAAGATAAACACCAATACAGTATACTAACACATATACATGGAATTTAGAAAGATGGCAATGATAACACTATATGCAAGACAGAAAAAGAGACACAGATGTATGGAACAGACTTTTGGACTCTGTGGGAGAAGGCGAGGGTGGGATGATCTGAGAGAATAGCATTGAAACGTATATTATCAATTGTGAAACAGATGGCTAGTCCAGGTTTGATGCATGAGACAATGCTCAGGGCTGGTGCACTAGGATGACCCAGAGGGATGGGATGTGGAGAGAGGAGGGAAGGGGATTCAGGATGGGGAACACATGTAAATCCATGGCTGATTCATATCAATGTATGGCAAAAAACACTACAATACTGTAAAGTAATTAGCCTCCAACTAATATAAATAAATGAAAGAAAAAAAAAGAATACAATTAATCCTAAAACAATTGTCAAAGTGAAACTGAAAGTCAATCAGCTGTGTCTGACTCTTTGCATTCCCATGAACTGTAGCCTGCCAGGCTCCTCTGTCCCTGGGGACTCTCCAGGCAAGAATACTGGAGTGTTTTGCCATTCCCTTCTGCAGGTGATCTTCCCAACCCAGGTCTACTCATTACAGGCAGATTCTTTATTGTCTGAGCCACTAGGGAATCCCAAGAATACTAGAGTGGGTAGTCTATCCTTTCTCCAGTGGATCTTCTTGACCCAAGAATCAAAGCAGGTTCTCCTGCATTGTAGGCAGATTCTCTACCAGCTGAGCTATCAGGGAAGACAACAGTATGTTCTGCTATTATTATCAGAATATAAATGTATTCAAATATATTATTTGAGTGGTTAAAATACATTATACTTTAAAAGACCATTATATCAGTTTTACTTTTAACACGTGAAACTGTCAGCATTCTAAATAATCCAATGACAATTGAATGCTTAAATAAATCATGATGTATAAACTCAATGGTATATAATGAAGTCACCTAAAATTAATATGACTATACTGAAAAGCTAGACGTGATCACATCATCTTATATACTGTATACAGTTGACCCTTGAACATGGGTTTGAATTGCACATGTTCACCTTTGTGCAATTTTTTTTTCAATATATAAGTACTACAGTACCACACTATCCATGGTTGTTTGAATATATGAATGTGAAACTGCAGATATAGAGAACAGACTGTAAAATTATGTATTCGTTTTTGACTGCATGATGGGCTGGTACCCCTAATTCCAGTGTTGTTCAAGTATTAATTATACATTTAGAGACATTAAAAGGAAACAAAAAAACCCTTAACACCGGCTTCTGTGTTAAATTAGAGAGAATTTGATTGATATTTACAAATATTTACTAAATACTTTCTATTAATGATAAATCTTTTGTTTTAAATTGCTTACCACTTTCACATTACGTGGCTTCTCTTCAGGGGTAATAACTTCTGAAATTTGTGTTTCCAGTTCTGTAAGTTCAGGTGGCAGAGAAATTATGTAATGATAGATTTTAGCCACACCCTTGCACTAGAAAAGAAAAAAAAAGAAAAAAAGTATGAAAATCATATCAGCATCAATATTTCAATTCTAATGTGTAATTGCCAGAGTTTTCAGGTTTAAAATGAATACACACACACACACACACACACACACACACACATATTCCTATTTGTATTCAGAGAGAGATACAACATGACTTACAAAAAGATGAAAAATATATTTATATGTTTATTGAGTGAGTCAGCTGTGTATTATCAAAGCATAAAACTGGACATAAATTTTTAGGTCCTCTCAATTGTGGTATGGGCAAAGTGCAGATGAGTGAGAAGTAAAAGGAGATTAAAAAGGTTAATTCATTCCTGAAAAAGTACACATATTCATGGAAATTTTGGAAAAGACAGTAAAGCTAAGAAAAAATTAATTATCACCCAGAATAGCAAACCCCCTCTTTCAACAATGCAAGAGACGACTCTGTACATGGACACCAGGAGAACATCACCAGATGTTCAATACCAAAGTCAGACTTATTATATTCTTTGCCGCTAAAGATGGGGAAGCTCTATACAGTCAGCACACACACACAAAATACCAGGAGCTGACTGTGGCTTAGATCATGAACTCCTTATTGCAAAAATCCAGACTTAAATTGAAGAACATAGGGACAACCTATAGGCCATTCAGGTATGACCTAATCAAATCCCTTAAAATTATACAGTGGAAGTGACAAATAGATTCAAGGGATTAGATCTCATAGGCAGAATGACTGAAGAACTATGGATGGATGTTCATAACACTGTACAGGAGGTGGTGATCAAAATCATCCTGAAGAAAAAGAAATGGCAAAAGGCAAAATGATTGTCTGAGGAAGTCTTACAGATAGCTAAGAAAAGTGAAAGACAAAGGAGAAAAGGAAAAATATACCCATTTGAATGCAGAGTGCCAAAGAACAGCAAGAAGAGACAAGAAATCCTCCCTAAATGATCAGTGCAAAGAAATAGAGGAAAACAACGGAATGGGAAAAGCTAGAGATTGTTTCAAGAAAATTAGAGATACCAAGGGAATATTTCATGCAAAGATGGGCATGATAAAGGACAGAAATGGTATGGACCTAAAGAAACAGAAGATATTAAGAAGACATGGCAAGAATACAAAGAACTATACAAAAAATTTTTTTAATGACCCAGATAACCACAATGGTGTGATCACTCAAATAGTATCAGACATCTGGGAGTGTGAAGTCAAGTGGGCCTTAGGAAGCATCGCTACGAATAAAGCTAGTCGATGTGATAGAATTCCAGCTGAGCTGTTGCAAACCCTTAAAAGATGATGCTGTTAAAGTGGTACATTCAATATGCCAGCAAACTGTGAAAACTCATCAGTGGCCACAGGGCTGGAAAAGATCAGTTTTCATTCCAATCCCAGAGAAAGGCAAGGCCAAAGAATGTTCAAACTGCTGCACAATTGCACTCATCTCACATACCAGCAAAGACTTCTCTGGTGGCTCAGATGGTAAAACATCTGCCTACAATGTGGGAGAACTGGGTTCGATCCCTGGGTCAGAAAGATCCCCTGGAGAAGGAAATGGCAACCCACTTCAGTACTCTTGCCTGGAAAATCCCATGGACGGAGGAGCCTACCTTACTACAGAAACTGAAGAGGAATGAAAGAGCCTCTTGATGAAAGTGAAAGAGGAGAGTGAAAAAGCTGGCTTAAAACTTAACATCAGAAAACTTAGATCATGGCATCTGGTCCCAAGACTTCATGGCAAATAGATGGGGTAACAATGGAAATGGTGACAGATAATTTTCTTGGGCTCCAAAATCTCTACAGATGGTGCCTGCCTACAGCCATGAAATTAAAAGATGCTTGCTTCTTAGAAGAAAAGTTATGATCAACCTAGATAGCATACTGAAAAGCAGAGACATTATTTTGCCAACAGAGTTCTGTGTAGTCAAAGCTATGGTTTTCCAATAGTCATGTATGGATGTGAGAGTTGGACCATAAAGAAATCTGAGTGCTACAGAATTGATGCTTTTGAACTGTGGTGTTGGAGATGACTCTTGAGTCCCTTGAACTGCAAGGAGATCAAACCAGTCCATCCTAAAAGAAATCAGTACTGAATATTCATTGGAAGGACTGATGCTGAAGCTGAAACTCCAAGATCCGAAGAACTAACTCCCTGGAAAAGACCTTGATGCTGGGAAAGATTGAAGGCAGGAGGAGAAGGGAACTAGAGAGGATGAAACGGTTGGATCGCGTCACCAACTCAATGCACATGAGTTTGAGCAAGCTACAGGAGTTGGTGATTGGCAGGGAATCCTGGTATGCTGCAGTCCATGGGGTCACAAAGAGTCAGACATGACTGACTGAACTGATATATGTGTGTGTGTATATATATATATATATGTATGTGTGTGTGTGTATGTATATGTGTGTGTGTATATATATATATATATATAAACTGCTACAGAGGTTCCCTTGCCCCAAATCTAGTACACAGCTTCCATAAGATTACTTTACAAAATACATACAAATCTTAAGTGTGTCTCTAAAATAAGAGCTTTTAAAAAGCTTTAGCCACTTGAGCAGGTACCAACATAATGGTGGAAAACATTAAAATAAAAGCTATAAGATCTCAGCTTGTGCTTTCTTATTTATGTGTGTCTGTATGCATGTAGGCTCAAGTTGCTTCAGTCGTGTCTGACTCTTTGTGACCCTATGGACTATAGCCCTCCAGGTTCCTCTGTCCATGGGATTCTCTAGGCAAGAATACTGGAGTGGGTTGCTATGCCCTCCTTCATGGGATCTTCTTGAATCAGGCATTGAACCCATGTCTCCTCCATTGCAGTCAGATTATTTACCACTGAACCACTGGGGAAGGCCATGTGTGTCTGTATATGTATGCTGTAATGTGAAATATTCTTCTGACTCTTAATGGTATTGCTAAATTAACTTATAAAAGAGCTATGTTCAATTAATTCAAAGAAAAGTAAGAGCTTATACAAATCAAGCAGTCATAAAATTCTCAGGAATATATTAGAAAGAAACCCAAAATCTTCAAGTTCATGTGGCCTGGGAAAATACTCAGCATTAAAACTAGCTGTGTGTGTATGCAAAGTGGCTTCAGTCGTGTCCAACTCTATGTGACACTATGGACTGTAGTCCACAAGGCTCCTCTCTCCATGGGACTCTCCAGGTAAGAATACTGGTGAGGGTGGCCATGCCCTTTTCCACAGGATCTTCCCCACCCAGGGAATGAACCTGTGTCTCTTATGTCCTTTGCATTGGCAGGTGGGTTTTTACTCCAACACCACCTGGGAACCCCAGGTTTATTAATTAAAATAGATATGTCTCTGCAGTTGTCAACATGAAAAATAATTTGTACATACGACTTTTATTCTTCTGAGGTTTATTAGTCAAATAAGTTCATGTTATCTACTGTTATGGAATGTTAGTGAATAAAAAAATCTTACGATGACTTTGTCTAATGTCTTAGAAAGAATAAAGCCAATAAGATCTTTAAAGTTCACTCTGGTGAATTTTATCTTAACAGATTTAATATATGGAATTTGATTCTAAAATGTTAGTAAGAGTTAAGAAGGGAAATGAAAACCTTAAGTAAAAAAAAACAATTATAAATAAGAGCTGATAAACTACCTTTTTACCTATTAATAAAACTCGTGGATGGTTACAAGAGCATACATTCCCATTCATGAGTATATATGGGCTTCCTTCGTAGCTCAGTTGGTAAAGAATCTGCCTGCAATGCAGGAGACCCAGGTTTGATTCCTGGGTCGGGAAGATCCCGTGGAGAAGGAAATAGCAAACCCACTCCAGTATTTCTGCGTGGAGAAGTCCATGGACTGAAGAGCCCAGCAGGCTGCAGTCCACAGAGTCGCAAGTGTCAGACACGATTTAGTGACTAAACCACTATATATATATATATGTGAGTGTTATATATATATATATATATGTATGTATATATATATTTATTCTTCAATTTATTCTTCAATTCTTAAAAAAACCTTCTTCAATTCTTGTGTGTATGTGTGTATACAGTGGTCAGCACTGTATACACACATACACACATGAATCTCCATCACTTAGCACAATTCTAAGTATATATAGTAGAGCTACATAAAAATATATCACTGATGAGTACGTTGGCATAAAAGCACTTCTCAAACTTTTCCAAAGAATATTTAAAATAATTAAGTATAACATCAACTTTAGGTTAAAGAGTCATGGAAAAACACAGTGACTTAAACGGTTAAAGAGCAAAATCTTTTACAATCGTAATGACTTGAAAAGACTTATAGATAACAATCCACACTCATGCTGGTACCAAATGGGTATTTTAACCTAGTAAATATTTCAGTTTGATATGCACATTTCAAATTTAAATCTATAAATATAAGTCATACATACTTGCTTATGTTGATTTTTTAAAAGCAGAATCAGATAATATATAAGTTGGATATTATCTTAAACAACATCTACTCCAATCCCTTCATTTTGAGATTGGGAAACTGAGGCTCTTACAACATATAAGAGTTGAGGTCCAAAGGGGCAAGGACCATGTCTTTATGCTCTTTGTATTACTTTCACCTAAATCTTATGACTGGTACATAGTAGATGTTCATTAAATGTTTACGAAATGAATTAAATCCATTCCAAGCCAGAACTTCATCTTTCAGCCAGCCAGTGTCTTAATTGTTACACCAATGAACCAAGCTCATTCTTATTATTTATTTATTTTTAAATTGAAGGATAACTGGTTTACAGAATTTTGTTGTTTTCTGTCAAACATCAACATGAATCAGCCATAGGTATACATATATCCTCTCCCTTCTGAACCTTCCTCCCATCCTCCTCCCCACTCCACCCCTCGAGGTAGACACAGAGCCCTTGTTTGAGTTTCCTGAGCCAAACAGCAAATCCAGATCTGCTATCTATTTTACACATGGTAATGTAAGTTTCCATGTTACTCTTTCCATATATCTCACCCTCTCCTCCCCTCTCCCGAT